GAACTGTGCTGAAAGGCTCCATTCCCCCCCCCCCCCCCCCCCCTCCTCCCCACCAACACCCAGCGAACCCGGACCTCCTACAGGCACGGAGGGTCCTAAAGTTTCATGGTTTGTTGTTGTTGTGGTGGTGTCTCTCTGTGAGTAAAACAGGACAAAGGCAGCATTCTACCCATTATGTATAGAGCTGATATAGACCAGAGAATGGTCCAGGTCAGGCCCCCGCCCCCCTCCACGAAAACACCACGTCTGATGTACATGAAACAGAATATCTGCTCCAGTTGTTAGTCTTAGTAGAGAGTGGAGGTGGGCGTAAAAGTGTCAGGAGAAGAAAGAGACACGTTGGCCGTCACTTTGTAATATTCTAAAGAGCATAAAGTGCATCATATGAGCTATTTTACAGATCAGTGTTTCTCCTCTTTTTTTCCCTGCTCGTAAATCAGGAGTAGTAGTGTTTTTCAAGCGTTTTCATATTTCTCTTTTTTTCAGACAGATTTGGCTCCGGGTAGCACTAATAACATTTATCTACCAAAAAGTGTTTTGCAGCAGACAGCGCTACGGCCTGGATCAGAGAAATCAAATGTAAAATCGTCTTCAAGGACGATAGCGGCATAAAAATTACAGATTAAACACCGTGCGCTGCAGAAGGTTCAGATCTTAAATCTTGACAGAGGGAGGAAGTCGAGCCAAGCAGCGGAGAGGGAGAGAGGAAAGGATGTGAACTCCGTCTATTAATCAGAGCGTGTCTGTCACAGGTGCAGACACAGACTTTTTTCTCCCTCAGAGGTAATTACAGTAGTTGTGTGGCCAGGCGTCAGTCGGGCCCCCGGGGCCCAGCTCGTCTGTAACACCACCCAGGTAGCTGTCAGCTCCTTGGCCCCAGTGCCAACGCTTCCACCAGCTCCTCACCACACCAATGAACAGATAGGAATCAAACTAACCGTAACCTTTTAAAAGTGCTTTTGTCTGGGGCAGAGAACAAAGGCCGGAGCCGTGTTTTCACTCCGTCTTTGTTGCCACTGCCGGAATGAAGAGACCAGACCCAGGTTGTCTTATCAGCAGGCTGCCTGATTGGCTTTAAAACAGGAGGGAGTCTAGACAGGTGGTCTTTGACGTGACCACCTTCCCCTCTCTTCTTTCCTGTGGTTATTTCTTTATTTGTCAACACCAGTAGGGGGGGGGGGCAGTTTGGAGCCTTCAGTGGCTTTTAAGAAACGGATCAAATGACTCCGAGGGTGAGATGTGATGCAGTGATCAAATGACTGTTAAATTTAAGACTCCGAGGGTGAGATGTGATGCAGAGATATTTTTGGATTCAAGGAAAATCATTTGATTTAATATAAACAAACGACATCTCCTGATTAAAGGTTGTGATTTCAGCTTGTGTCAGTTATACTGGATAGTTAAATCACTGAAAGTTTTGACTTTAACGGCCTGAGAAGTGTTTGAAAGTAAATTTATAGAAAAAAAGAATCAGATTCAGAAAACTTTTTATCGCCTCGGGGCGATAAAGAGCAGAGAGAGAATTATAATAAAACACAAACAAAGGTTAGGGTGAATTAAAAAATAAAATACTGCATTAAATCAATACTTTTCTATCACCAGGCCACATATGTTGTATAAAATGAGTCTAATACGTTCTAAGAAAAATAAAAATTATTTATTTAAGATTTAAAAAAATATATACCGTGCTATCATTCAATAAATCCCCCTCAAACTTGCACAAACGGTGGTATTATGTGTCAAAGAATGTATTCCCTGCTCTCCCCTTCATACTCAGTTGAGTTCCTACCCACAGGTACACTGCCAGGACCCCCCCCACACACACACACACACACACACACCACCACCAACCTGCCTTGACATTTTAGAATTACTAAAGAAAAATGTCCTTATATTTCTGTGTGTTTTTGTGTGTGGGAGGAAAGGTGTAGAGTAAAGACAGGATATAACCAGTTTGTGAGCCCGTTTGAAGGTGTGACGGTGCGTGCGTGCTGTGATTGTTACGGGTCGCTTTCGAGGACCCTGCTTTGCAGAAGGACTCCATCAACGATGGCAGAATCACAAGATTCCTGTGATTGTGCATGAGCGCTCATTTGTCAAGTACTTATCCCCCAACAGAGGAGGGACGTCAGCCTCTGTCTGCTGGCACTCCCTCATATATCCATGTGACATGTCAATATGCCACCCAGGATAAAGTGCTGCAGCTGGGCTTTTCTTTTACAAAAATATCTTTAAGCTCCCCCTCCTTCAGACCCCCTCTCTCTACCACTCTCTTTCTTTTTCTCTCACTTTCCCTCTCTCTGCCTCTCTCCATCTCTTTTTTCCCTAACCCTCCCTCTCTCCATCTCTTTTTTCCCTAACCCTCTTCTGTCGTCGTTTGTCTGTGTCGGTGTGTAAAAGAAAAAAAAAACGTTCTGAAGTTAAAAAGGAATTGTGAGACTTTCAGATGCGGATGCTATTTTCTTTCCCTTTGTGGCAACACGTGTTCTCATCCTGCTACGTCAACAGTTGTTCAAACAAGAAAGAGAGAAGTGAGAGTCTAAAAACAGCTCGACCTACAATCTTCTTTTCTAGAAATGTTGGTTTACTTTCTAAACATGCATTAAAAAAAAAACATTTATTATTGAGCTAAGATCTTTATTCAACTGACATAAATAAAAAAAGTAGTCCTGAGTTAGTGTTGTCAAGCTTATCAGGATGGCATTGAGAACACAAATGCCATGCACATTCTTTTATTAACCGTATATGATGTCAGGCCTGAATTAATTTGATACCAATCCCTAAAAATATCACTTTCCTGACTGTTCCTTATTTACCCAAACACAACACTAATCTCTGCTTTTGAAGACCATCCTAAAATGCAGGATATATAGGGTTTCCAGTCTAATTTTGACTCTGACCCAACTTTTTGTACAAAAAAAGAAACAAAATGTAGCTTGAAAGCAAACTATTAATCATTGCTGCGGCTATTTCTGTGTCGAACATAGCATCAGGCTAATGTCCTGAAAACCGTATGTACGTAGATGCATTTATAGAAACTATACTGCGTTCTCTGGGGATTGGACAACTCTGTGAAGGTTTATCTGTGTAATCTACAAAACAACCCAGTTTGGAGTAAAGAATCCATTTTAGAAAAAAAAAAAAAACGTTAATCCATTTGGTACAGGAGAACATCTGCCATATCAGTGAGATCTTTGTGAGCAGAGGATCTCACCAAATCAGAATCAAAATAATCCTTATAGTTGTGGATCAGCAAACATATCTCAGGAATTAATGACTAATTTGTTTAGCTTGATTTTAGACCAGTATTTTGTCAAATATGTACTGCTTTTCTACCATGAATACAGAGTGTGTTTGACCATGAACCCATATGTTTTGCATGTCTGCGTTTCTCTTCGTCATTAACCACTGGTTCAATGGAAACACTGTTCACTCTCACTGTACTGTCTTCCTCTCCACTCTGTGTCTTTTCATCCCATTGCTCACCTCCATCAAATCACTTCATCCACAAACAGATCAGCGTGAAGGTTGGTTGTTTTCACTTTCCATTGTTGTTTTCCCTTCAATTTGACGCATAATTTAGTCAAAGTCGACCCCCACCCCGTCCCCCACCCTGTCCACTCTGATGATACCTGTCAATTAAAGTAATTTTAATCCCTAATCCACTATCCATACCTCTGTTTGTTTAGTGTTTGCATAAATCCCAGAATAACCTTTTTGCATGCATGACAATGTTGTCCTCCCCGAAACCGTGTCCTCCCTCTGTATAGTCCTGTTCTGTGCTGTTACATACAGTGTCCACCTACAAAATAGTGTTGTTGTCAACGACAGTTATACTGTGGCTGTGTTCACCTCACCCCCCACCCCCCTGCAGACCCATCAGAGGTCTGTGATGATTAACCCCAGCGCTCAACAGGAAGCTGCGCTGGTGAAAGTCCATGCAGTAATTTGTTTGTTAAAGGACATGAATGCATCTGATTTCATTAGAGTTTCTGTGTAACATTAACCTTCAGATGAAGGCAAACAAGTCATCATTAATGTCAACACCCGAGTCCAAACCCCATCTTTGGATTCACTGAATAACGACTCATGTGAGTCTCCATTTGACACGGTATTCTTCGCACCTACCATCTATAACATCCCACCCCCCAAAAAAATGCTGACCTACAAAAGTTTTAAGAATGAGCTGGCAGGAAGCTGACAAGGAGATGATCAGCTATCATAGCTGCCCACTGCTGCTGCCAGGAATCCGGGGAGCATGCTAACTGTGTGCCAGTTCACTCCTGATATCGATTCACCGAACAGGTTCTTCTATCCTTGGGCACTTTGTCAAGGCAGTTAAATTTATAGGTATCCAGCAAGCGGGCAGGCACAGTGGAGACAGGGCTTATTTTGTGGTTTTGATAGAGTCCTGAAGCTCGTCTCTCCGAGCGGCTCTCTACAGGAGAGAGGCTTCCAGGGAATCGATAACAATTACCTGCCCTCTAGTCATTTTGTTCCACTGCACCTCTCCAAACTTAACCGCATGCCATGAATTATTCACAACATTAAGTGTTCAATGTACGAGGGTCTCATTGACTCACTGCTCTTAGCAGTGTTTAGTTTTCCTCTCGTAGGTTTTCACTATTTTATTTATTTTTCTTATTTATTTATTTTTGCCTAGCATACCTTGTACAAAGATTATTCGCACTTAAGAGAGGCTGCAGTTGTGTGACAAGGAAGTGGAATACCAACGCTGTGGAAGCTCACACTTCATCTGTTGTTCATTAGTCACTCTGGAAATCAGATGTTCACTCATCTCTTATGAGAAAATTGGACAGAATCCCCGGTTTATCCCCCCTCCAACTCCCCCCTCAGCACATGCAGGCGTCCTATGCCATCCCATGCCTTTCCTCAGCCCCTGTGCATGCTTCGCCTGAGAAACTTGTCTCTATGCTGTTCCCAGGCTGGTAACACGAGTCAACCTGTCCAGTCCTTGCATGCAAGAAATCATTTCAATCCCTGTGAACTTCAGAAAACTGATGTCATGTCTTATAATCTGTGTTCTAGACAGTGGATGTGTGTTACTCTATTCCTGCATGAAACCCACAGAATTACATCTGACCTGGATAAGGTTTCATCTCTTTCAGCCACTGTTGACTATAAACTCCACTTTTATTTGGTGAAAATAACAGACAGCCATTGTTACTGTGCAATTTAACTGCAGTTTACCTTTTCCTGTTATTACCATAACATTTGTTTTGCCTGATTAACCTTTATTTTTTATAGAACTATCTCAGACCTGATGTGCTCTTTATTTCTTATTCAAATATATGACATGTCCGCAGGTTGTTTTGAAATGAAAACTCCACTACTTTATTAAGTTATTTCAAGTACGTGTGAATGCCCTCCTTCTTGTTTTGGTGCAGTTCAGAGCACCAGCCTTTTCCTGACTGGAATCTCAAATGTGCTTTTGTGTTTTTTTGTTTGTTTTTTTTCTTCTTCCATTTTACCTCATAATGAGGGGAATAACAACCGTGGCTGTAATCATGCTCCGGTCCAAATTAGTTCAGGAAGAAGGGGAAGGATAGAGGGAGGTGAAAAAGGAAAGGTGACGGAAGATTCACATTTGAAAACCTATTTGTAATAGCTAACAGCGCTACGGAGCAATTACAATTGGGCCTTTGTTTACACAGTTGCTGTGGTATATTAGGGGAAACAAACAGCTTACGTTTTGCAGGGTATTTGAAGACAGTTCCTCCGTCATGTAACGAGCCTTGTCAGGTTTAACCAGTATGACATTGATGGATATTCACATCAGTCATATGAGCAGAGACAAGTCGGGATTTCAACACCCTGTCAGCCCAGCAGATGACTCTGTTTTGTCTGCCAAACTTATGAGACAAAGATGCAAAGTGTTGACATGTGGCAAACATGTCATTTTTTTGTCATTATTTAGACAGAAAACAAGTCGCATGAAAACGTCTGCTGTTTATTTTGGTTAGCTTTTCAGTATTGCTCACAGCCTCTGCATCGGTGTTTGCCTTGTCCCTGGCGACGGCAATGGGCCCTTCTTGTCTCCATGGGAACCTCTTTTTAATGTCAGCCTATCTGCATATCAGAACTGCACAGGAGAGAGAGAGAGGGAGAGAGAGAGAGAGAGAGAATGACAGGCTGTGCAGAAGAGGCCCGAGTGAGGGAGCAGGAGAAGAAAACCCAACAATGCCATCTCCACAGGGTCCCTCAGTGTTGCAGCCCTCACACAATTTGACACTCTGACAAAAGAGGGCTGGACATAGTCTCCTGCATAACTAAGCTATTTTTTCCATTATATTCCCCTTCGTTGAAAAGAGGATAAGACAAGCCCTTAACTGTTTCTGTGAGTTTTCAGCTCCATTTGCTGACTGTCCTATTATGCCCATTGTGCTGGCCTTCGCATTTGGACAAAAGCAATCAGCCTTCAGTGAGGTTAGCTCTTAGCTCTGGACCATCATGTTCTGCCTATGTATTCACTACTTTGTCTTGATTGTTATTTTCCAGTGCGAAGAGTCCCACCCAGATTCTCTATTCCACCCACGAACCAAGAGGTGATGCCTGGGGGCAGCATCAATCTGACATGTGTGGCAGTGGGTTCACCCATGCCCTACGTTAAGTGGATGATGGGCATCGTGGAACTGACCAAGGAGGAAGAGATGCCGCTGGGACGCAATGTTCTAGAAGTCACTAACATCCGGGAGTCCACCAACTACACCTGTGTCGCCATGTCCTCCCTGGGCATAATCGAAGCCACAGCACAGGTTACTGTCAAAGGTGAGAGTTGTCTCTGCATATATGCTGTATATATTTATACATTTATATACATATATATATATATATACGAACATATATGTATATGTGCATATAAGCGTATATATACAAGTATAAATTACATATTAATTATATATATACATATTCCTATTTGTAAATATATATAATGTTATTTATGTAATTAGTCACAATTAGTTCAGATAAATGTTAATCTGTCAAGAGTTAAATGTTTTATTAATAGCCACGTGTGTGTTTTAATGTGGCCATCTCCACCCCTGTGTGTGTGTGAAACCGTGGGAGTGTGTCTACCCTTTGCAGCCTCTCTTATGTCCTGTACATCGATCCTCCTCTGCACTGGGCTAATCGATATTCTGAATGTCACAGTCATTACAGAGACCACAGCGATGTAGACCCCCTTCTTCTAGGAACAATAATGAAGATCCTTTGCCTTTGTTGCAGTTGTCATTCAGTCACAAGAGGAACCACTCTTGCAATTTTCCTGCATTGTCAGAAATGGTGGGGTTCAGATATAAACACAAAATTGTTTCTTCAGCCTGGCTGTTCTTTTCATTTGTTAGTGATAACGGCTGGACACTGCTGAAAAGATTAGCTAACAAAACAAAGCAGAACACTGGTATGAGCCATTAGAGATGAAAGTCTTGCAGCTTTTGCCAATAATCAAAATTTTAAACCATATACAGTATATATATATATATATATATATATATATATCATATTATATTTTTTTACAGCAATGCACCCTTTTTGTGTTATTCTTACATTTTTCTACCAACCACTGATGTTTTTAAAGTCAAAATAATCTTGCAAAAAGTTCCTGGAGGTGGTGTGGCAAAGTTTAAAATGTGCAATGATAATGAATTACTATACTGTTTATTAGATTACCGTAATTTCCTGACTATAAGCGGCTACTTTTTTTTCACACACTTTGAACCCTGTGGCTTAAACAATGATGCGCCTAATATATGGATCATTACGGGCTAACGCAGTTCATACCACTAGCGAACAATGAGTGTTCTGGTTGGCTACTGTGTGTATGTCTGGCTGTGAATGGCTATGTGCGTAGATGTGGGCGGGGCACGCGCAAGAGTATGGTATCCGTGTCATGTGAAATCGTGAGTTGGTTGTAAGGGAGCTGTTAAAACGTTCTTTTTGGACTCGGTTTGGCTGATAATAAAGAGACTAACGTCCCTGTTTCTGTTTACCTCTGCTGCGGACAAGCACAGAGTGAGGGGAGTTAGCCCCGGAGCTAATGTTAGCTTCTGGCCTGTTGCAGCTCACCATGTCTCCCCTGTGTATTCCAACTACGTTCGGGGCCGAAGCAAGAAAGAATAAACGTGTAACTAGCCGTGTTACAGGCACTGTTCGGGAAAAAGTGAAAGTGAAAATTGTTCATATTCTGGTGCACAGTAGTCTGGAAATCACTGTAGACGTTTCTGATATAGCTGTTTGGATCAAAAGCAGAATAATTATATAAATGGGAAGGTCTACTGTTCTCAGGCATCAGATTTCAGACATTCAGACATTGCTTTTTTTATGAGATTACCCAGAAGCCCTAAAAGTCCCCCTCTGTCTATCAGATATCAAAGCTAATAACCTGTTTCTTTTTCCCCAGCTTTGCCAAAGCCCCCTACCTCGCTCACCGTCACTGAGACCACAGCCACTAGTGTGACTCTCACGTGGGACTCTGGGAATCCTGAACCTGTGTCCTATTACATGATCCAATACAGACCCAAGTCTTTAGATGTTGGCTTCCAGGAAGTGGAAGGTGTAGCCACTACCCGTTACAGTATTGGAGGACTGAGCCCGTACTCCGAGTACGAGTTCCGTGTCATGGCTGTCAACAACATAGGCCGCGGGCCACCTAGCGACCCAGTGGAGACGCGCACAGGTGAACAGGCCCCCTCCTCGCCCCCCCTGCACGTCCAGGCTCGCATGCTGAGCGCCAGCACAATGTTGGTTCAGTGGGAACCGCCCGAGGAACCCAACGGTCAGATCAGGGGCTACCGCATCTACTACAGTTCAGACCTGACAGCTCCCCTCAGCGCCTGGCAGAAACACAACACAGATGACAGCAGTCTGACTACCATCTCAAACCTGACTCCTGATATCACATACAGCCTGCGGGTGCTGGGCTTCACCTCTGTAGGTGACGGACCACCATCTGACATCCTGCAAGTGAAAACCCAGCAGGGAGGTGAGCAGACTTGCCCTGTGTGTCTGTGTCTGTATGTTGTTATTGTTGTTGAAGTGTTAGTCTTTCAAACCGCTCTACATTACCTCACAGATCAGTTTGAATTATGTCCAAACTCACTTCACACATTTCAGCTCCCGGCTTTAGATATTAATTCGTTCTTCTCTATTTTTTCCAGTTCCTGCCCAACCATCCAGCTTTGAGGCAGAAGCTGAGCTGGACACTCGCATCAGACTCTCATGGCTGTGGCCTGTGCAGGGACAGATCACAAAGTACGAGCTGCAGTATTGGGAGGCTGGATCTGACAACAAGGTTGGAATCTGTGGACCTACAATGTCCATCCATCCGTCTCTCTGTTCATATGAGTCATAAAGTTCTACATGTTAAGACAAGGAGTTTTTGTCAACTTTATTTATTATGTCTTTGTGATCCTTGGCCTGTGTCACATTTCATTTGATCATATTTTACAGCCAATACATTAGAGCAAAGATCAAGTTTTACCCAAACAGTAAAAAAAAAAAAGTCAAAATCCTGGAGCTTAAAAAGAGGTTGGAATTCAGATCCATGTAATTATTTTTTTCTCTTCCTAAAACTGAAAAAAAAAAAAACATTTGGGAGGAACTCGATATATATGACCTTAGATGAAGCAGAGAAGCAGGTTGTGACCTGCTTTAGAAAATGCAGAGGGAAGGAATTCTTGATGTAAATATCACTGGGGAAAGAGGTTCAATATATATATATATATATACTGTATATAACATGTATGAACTTTCTCGGATTTAACACCAGAGACCATTTGCTTTTTTCTTTTTTTTGTTGTGCATAAAATAATGAGAATAATTTTGGCTTTTGAGGAACCATCCCCAACTTAAAGCAGAACATTAATAATTTTACTTTCTAACTTATTTTTCTACCTGCAGATACACGTGACCTTTGACGCCATGGGCTCCTACGCTGTGGACGGTTTAAAGCCTGACACCTTGTATTACTTCACCCTGGCAGCACGCTCTGAAATGGGTTTAGGTGTTTACACGCAACCCATCGAGGCACGCACCGCCCAGTCCAGTAAGTCTCTCCTCTTCCCCACTGCTTCATCGTCCGTTGTCAGCTAACCACTTCTTCGTAGGGTAACCGTCATTCACTAGCTTTTAAAAAACAAAACAAAAAAACAAACAAAATATATCAAGGGCAAATTGAAAGTCAAGTTGGTTTCAGCACTGGACGAAATGCTGACAGTGCAGTCAGCTCCACGCTTCCACTGCCCCCTCCCACCCCTCACCCCACCCTCCTGTCACCAACACTAACCCTCCTGTCCGTCTAACTGAGGGCAGGGCCTGTGTTCAGTGTCAAAGGTATGTTTAATGTGTCTGATCCCACGTCTGTGAACTGAGCTGTTGTATCACCGTTTTATTTTATCATGCACTTGACGACAGTACTAAAAATGTCACTCAGTTATTCCTCAGAGCAGCATCTATGTCAATGCACTCCAAAAAATTACTAAACTAATAATATTTGCAGTATACTGTATATCTCTGACCCTGAATAGCTGAAAAGAAAATAGCATAAAGCTTCAAAAAATATATTTATTCCATTAAACTACAGTAACAGATTCGATATAAATAGACTCTGTGTGCATTGGAAACCAAATTTGATTTGGATTGATAGTAATTCCCCCACACTACAAATTATTTCCGCTCTGTAGGATGGTGGCTGCTGCTGTCCATGAAATAGAAATTGACAGGATAGAGGGCGCAAAGAGTGTTGTTTTATTTTGGGTTTTTTTCTTTTCCAAAATGTCCCAATTTGGAGAGATGAAATTGTCCTAGAGTTAAAATCTCCGACAGCCCCAGAATAATTTGCCCATCAATCAAGTTCATGAGTGAAGATGCGTCTTTTTGTCCTTGTGCTTTTACCAGCAGCAGACATGAGGACACAGAATGTAAATGTAACGAGACGCGTGGTTTCTGTGCAGGACGTTAACGGTGCATAGAAGAAAACAAAACAGGAATCGAGTGACGTTTTTTTTACTGCTGCATTTACATGTGTAGTGTTCATTTGTTAATTTTCAGAACAATGGACAACAAAACCATATATATTCAGAATATATTTAATTACTCTGCAGTATTAAAATGTATGTTAGAGAGAAAAGAGAAAAGGAATGACATAACATAAGTAAATTCTCATTCCAGTTTGCTGTTCATTGCTCTGTTTATTAACACAATAATAATTGGCCTGCTTCATTTTATATATTCTCACCTGCCATTGTTGTCCTTCATATTTTTCCCTTATTTTGTGTTTTTTATGTGTAGTCGAATTCATTTGTCGCATGTTTTTTAAGAACACTGTGGAGTTTTTTGGTAGAGATGATTTTTGATTATTTTTAAAGTGGTTGATTTGTGTCTTGTCTTTAGCTCTGGACTGAAGAGTTGCCAAATGTTAGTGTTAAAATTCCAGCTCTATAAATACCACAGACTGTTAGTGTAGCTACAATGATGACATTGTTCATTTTATATTGTAACCAATCAGTAAATTGAATTAAGAACCTCTTTTTTAACTTTGTGGTTCAGATAAAACATCAGTTTCAGAAGCACAACAACAGTACTTATTATTGTTACTGCACCCTTATGAAAAATCAAGGTTATTATAGACCACAGGTTAAAATCTCATAAGATTTAAGTGACAAACTCATCAGCTTAAACATCACAGAAAATAAATATAAATAAAAATCTTCATAATTAACTTTTATTATTAATAAATACAAGTATGCACATGTGAAGCTTTGCACAGCAGCAGAGGATTTAATAGAAAAGTCACTGCTTCAAAGTGTGAACACCAGTTATCAATGTAAAGCACTGGTTCACACTGTGGCACTTGAAGCAAGGGGAAAAAACACTAAAGAGAAAACTGTGTTTAAACAAAACAAAAAAACACCTATTAGTTAAAGTTTTAGAAGATTGTTCTTTTTCTTAACCTCTGCTCGTAGTTTCACAGTCGCTCAGTTTAATGCACAAACAAACAGCTGCAGTGGTGACTGGGGATCGTGTTTTTGTGGCTTCTTTCTCAGTCCAGAGGCAGCATGCTGCTAAATGTGGAAGCTTTTTGTGTTCATAAAAATGAACTGTATTGTTATTCTCACTTAGAGTCGAGTTAGTGACTCTAGGACACAGTTTTATTACCGCTATCCAAAAGAATTTATATTTTTCTTTTAAATCTAACATTAATTTAAACAAATCCAAATCTGTTTTTTTAACATGCAATATCTTGCAGTATATAAAATAAATTGAGTATTTATTTGGTAACCTTACTAGTTTTCTTTGTACAAAAAGCTTTTACATTTTGATCCATTTTGAGTTGAGTCGTTTTAGTTGCATTTTCTTTTGCTTGATCCATTCCCCCTCCGTGTGGTTTTGCCTCCTCCCTCCCTCCCTGCAGCCCCATCCGCTCCCCCACAAGAGGTACATCTGGTCAGCCTGAGCTCCACCAGCCTCAAGGTGAGTTGGGTGGCGCCGCCCGCCGATAGCCGCCACGGCGCCATTGTGCGCTACACAGTCAGCTACCAGGCCCTGGCTGGAGAGGACACGGAGCGGCATGAGGTGACGGGCGTGGGTGCAGATGCCACCAGCTATGATCTGGAGAACTTGGAGAAGTGGACTGAGTATCAGGTGTGGGTGAGGGCACACACTAATGTGGGCCCAGGTCCTGAAAGTGCCCCGGTGAAGATGAGAACCAAAGAAGATGGTAGGTGGACTACTCTGAAGTATATGGATCACTAATACTACATCAAAACATGGATATACTGTAGTTACTACAGTAGTAGTATCCTAACCTGGGTTACACTTTGAACTACAGAGGTGGATCATTTTTGTTAATAACTTTAACAACAGACAAACGTTACCTCGTTACCTTAGTAACGGTATGTGCCTATGAGAGGACCTAAAAATGTCCTTTTTGAGGTACTTTTAGAACTGTTTAGAATTTTGGTGGCTCTTGTTCGACTCCTCTCCTGCAGCAGACTCACAGCGACCTGCCAATGCTTTACTTCCTGCTTTCAATGTAGCTGTTGGCTTATCTTTGTCATGTCTCTCCCTAATGACTTAATCAGGGTCACCCTCCTCTCCTCCCCTTTTTCTCCTCCCCAATTTTCTCCTCCCTTCTTACTCTCTGGACTGAGGACAGGTCGGGTCTCATGGTTTCTTCTTTTCTTTCTCCTGTTCTGATGAATAGGACTGTAGCGCCTCCCTCCGACTCCCTCCATCCCTACCTCCCTCTCGGTTTTTCTCACTCACGCTTCATTTTGTTTGCAGTGTGATAGAGAGCGCGGCTGCTCCTCCGAGAGAGTCATCTATAATTAATGTGTTTGAAGTTCGCTGCAAAAGCTAGTTGCAACAGCTAATTTCAAACTGAAATTAAGAGCATTGCGGACATGGGCAGACCTCATGCTGCACTGCTGTGTCACAGTCGGGGTGGGGGCGGGGGCAGTGTGCTGATATCACACCCCAGGACAGAGCACCCAGGTCTGAGCAGGAAAATCACTGGAGTTATTATTTTAGTACCTTTGGCTCATCATCACCAAACACTCACAGCAGAGTTAGTTCCTTTCATCACCTTTTTTCATCCCCTTTCTTCATCCTCCTTTTGATCCTTCCTTGTTTCTTTGTTCACTGTGTTTTTTCTTTTTTCTTTCCTTCCTTCCTTTCTTCCTTTTTCGACTCCTTTCCTCCGTCATTTTTTCTTCGCTTTCTTGATTTCCCTTTTCTTCCTCACCTCCTTTCTTTCTTTTTTCCTTGTTCCTTGATCCTTACTTTCTTTTCTTCCTCACCTCCTTTTTTTCTTTTTTCCTTGTTCCTTGATCCTTAGCTCCGTTATTTCCATTGACACATTTGTTTGTAATTACCCATATTTCAACCATCTAGTAATAGTCATTTCAAATTATCCATATCAAATATTTGCTCCTTATTAAGCTCAAAGTCTAAACTCATTTTCACACAGAGGTCATGTGTCCTTGGGGAGTCCTCTGGAGGAGACCGTACTCCAGTTGTCCCTGAGTGTCTTTGGTCCTCATGGCAGCACTGATTGGCTACATACATTCCAACATGCTGTCACAGAGGTGTTCACACAACCAAATTATTCTCAACATTAGAGACAGTCAACATATTGTGAAGGACTCCACCGCTGTGCGTCTCCAGGAAGCTGTCACGCTGCCTAAACCCACAGCCGTGGAGCAGCTGTCCTCTTAACAGTGATGCAGCTGTATCTGTGTGTAAAACGGGATTCTCTCCGTGTCCCGCTTTCCTCTGATTTTCAGTGCCAGGAGCTCCCCCCAGGAAGTTGGAGGTTGAGGCTATCAACTCCACAGCCATCCGGGTCACCTGGAAGCCACCGCTGCAGGGGAAGCAGCACGGTCAAATCCGTGGATACCAAGTCATCTTCTCCAGGCTTGAAAACGGCGAACCTCGAGGCCAGCCTAACATCTTGGACGTTACTTTGCCGGAGGCACAGGTAATGGATAAGGTCTTACTTTTGTCTGTTTGTGTCTCACTCCTGCTGTCTGTATCTGTCTTGTGATTGTTTCCTCTTGTTTTCATTCTCCACCGCTGCTCTACTCTTTTCCTTTCCTCTAAGTTGACACTTCATCTTCTTTCTCTCGACCCTCTTTATTTTTATCATCTAAATCGTTTCCCGTGCCCTCACAGCTTCAGATTAGCCTCATAAGATCCCTTCAAATTTTCCGGTAATAACTACCAAATATTTGGTATGCCCTGTGTTATCATGGGGCCTGGTTAAATCTAAGCAGCCCTTATTGATGTTTTAGCAGTATTACATATGCACTGCCTTGTTACCATGTTTATAAATGAGCTCTTCTTTTTATTTTCTCGATACGCTCCTCACACATTGATGCAAGCTGCTTCCGATCGCCTCTAGCTACAGCGATGGATCAGAGATTGTAA